TCAACCAGGACAATGACAGTAAGAGACAGAGAAGTGATCGATAGGTATATCAATAGATGGATGGATGGATGGATGATAGACAGACAGATAGACACAGACTGAACATGACGTGAGTTTTCCAAAGAGGTTAACAATTGGGTGTTTTGCTGAGGGATTTCATAAGTCAAAACATGACTGTAGCTATGCTAACAGTATAAGAGTTTAAACGAATACAAACACCATTTTGAAATGGCTGTTCCTTGTGGGAAAGGGAGCACTCAGGGGCTTCCACAGGATTGTGACGGTTTAGCTCATCATCTGAGTGAGTGAGGGGCTGTAATAGAGGGTCTGACAGAGTCTAGTCCAGTCCGGTCTGGACTTCGCTATGTGGCCAAGGATGACTGTATGTGCGTGCATGTGCGTGTGTGCATTTGTGCATGTGTGGGTGTATCCATGCACACATGTGTGCATGCATGTGGAATCCAGAAGCGTGTCTTCTATCACTCTTCACTTTATTGACTGACTGACTGACTGATTGATTGATTGATTTACTGAGCCAGGATCTCTTAGCAAACCAGGAACTCTATGACTTGGCTAGACTGGTTAGTCAGCAAACACCACGGGTTCTCCTGGCTCTGCCATCCCATAGTGCTGAGGTTACACCTACACTATAGATGTGCCCTACCAGGCATATATCAGTGCAGGAGATCCAAACTCAGGCGCTGAGATTTGCATGGAAAGCACTTTGACGGCTGCGCCAGCTCCCAGCCCCTAGTCTTGAACTTCTGAACTTCTCATCTCCATCTTCTGTGTCTCCAGCTAAGTGCTGGGATTACAGGCACGCACATTACCATGTCAAGCTCATTGTATGGCACTAATTTAGCTGGATGATTCCGCTTATTTTATGGGAGCAGAAAGGCACAATGTACAATGTGGTACAGTACAAATAACTCCCTCAGCTCTTTGGAGCAACACTATTGTTTCCTGCACACACTGTTCAGCTCCCTGGGGATGCTGAAATGTAAAACAGTGCACGACTGAAGTTATTCAATGATGACTTGAGTGTTAATATCCCAGTCTCTAGGCCCCAAGTCTCCCCATCTGAGACCCTGACTCACCAAGTGTCTCCATCTGTGACCCCGACTTGGTGGTTTCTTTAACTGCCCCAGGTCAGTGCTGGGAAATAAACTGATAATATGCATATGTATATATATGTGTGTGTGTGTGTGTATGATACACACACACACACATATACACACACACACACACACATATATATATATATATAATTTATACAGTGGTAAATGAAGACGACAAATGGAGGAAATTACTTCCTGCTTAGAGGCAATCACACCACCCTAATATTTTATTAGGAAAATACCCACTTAAAAACCCTAGAACAAAATAACAGAATAACAGTACCAAGTAATTGCAGCTAAGTCCCTGCAGTGGTTTATAGTTCTCTTTTTTCTGCTATAGATTCTGACTTAGTATTGTTTTCTCCAGACTCTAAAAGATAAGAGTATCTTGCCTAGAATCACAAGACATATGAGCAGTTAGTTCAGGCTTCTCATCCAAGCCTATGTTATGCAAAGCTCATAGACCCAACATATAGGAAAGAATCCCAGGGGCCACCAAGTCCATGCTCTTTCCTCTGGAGGTGTTTTCAACCGAGGATAACACCGAGCTTCTCATCAGTATGCATCTCCAGAACAGTGTGCCACATTCAGTGTGTGGAGAACCATCTCCAGTGTAGAGCACCAACCTCAGGATAGAGAACCATCCTCAATGTAGAACATCAACTTCAGGATGAAGGGCCATCACCAGTGTAGAGCACAAACCCCAGGGTGGAGCACTATCCTCAGTGCAGAGCACTATCCTCATGGTGAAGCATCACCCCCACTTCAGAACACTAACCTCTGGGTGGAGCACCATCCCCAGTGCAGAGCACCAACTTCAGGGTTGGGCATCATCACCAGCACAGACCACCAACCTCAGGATGAAGGACCACACCCAGTACACAGCATCAACCTCAGGGTGGAGAGCCATCAACAGTGAAGAGCACTAACCTCTGGGTGGAGCACTATCCCCAGTGCAGAGCACCAACCTTAGGGTGGAGCACCATCCTCACTGCAGAGCACCAACCCCAGGGTGGAGCACTACCAACCTCAGGGTGGAGCACTACCAACTTCAGGGTGGAGCACCATCCCCATTGCAGAGCAACAACCTTAGGGTGGAGCACCACCCTCACTGCAGAGCACCAACCTCAGGGTGGAGCACTATCCCCAGTGCAGAGCACCAACCTCAAGGAGGAGCACTACCCCCAGTGCAGAGCACCAACCTCAGGGTGGAGCACCATCCTCACTGCAGAGCACCAACCTCAGGGTAGAGCACCATCCCCATTGCAGAGCACCAACCTCAGGGTGGAGCACCATCCCCACTGAAGAGAACCAGTTTCAAGGTAGAGCATCATTCCAGTGTGTGCAGAGTGCTATTTACCATGCTGAGCACCCTCTACTGGAGTCAGGTCCTCTAGAAGAGCAGCCAGTACTCCTAACTGCTGTGACAACCCTCTGCCCTGATATGCACTTTCTCAGTGTCTGGCCTTATGCTCACTAAGAAGCAGAAGACTGGGCCAGCCCCACCTATCATCCTGTCTTAGTTAGGGTTTTTATTGCTGTGGAGAGACACCATGACCAAGGGAACTCTTAATAAAGGCATTTAGTTAGGGCTGGCTTACAGTTTCAGAGGTCATCACGGTGGGAAACAGAGCAGTGTGCATGCAGACATGGTGCTGGCGGAGCTGAGAGTTCTCCATCTTGATCTGAAGGCAGCCAGGAGAGACTCTCCTTCCACACTGGGTGGAGCTTGAGCATAGAGACCTCAAAGCTGACCTACATAGCAACACACTTCCTCCAACAAGTTCCTCCAATAATTCCACTTCTCATGGGTCAAGCATACTCAAACCACCACACATCCCGACCCTAACGGTTGAGACGAGGCTGTCGCCTGCCCTAGGTTACTCTGTCTTGTGCAGAGCAGTGGTTTGCCAGCCTGTGCTGTGCTTTAAGAGACTCCATTTTATAAGCAGCTTCTATGGTGTTTGAAGCAGAGGGTGTTCACACTCCTGCGTGGGCACACTCCTGCATGAACACATGCACGGCACTATCTACCAGGTAACACCATCCGACAATTGACTGGTGAGGGACTCAGAAGTGTGCCACAGGTGTGCATGAAATGATATAGTCCTATTAGGACAACCGGGCCCCAAGAACTCAGTGAACACATCTAAGGAAAGAGTCAAACTCCCTCACCTGGACCCTACAGCGGTGGACACTCAATAAGACACTGACTGACGCCCCTGCTGCTTGTCACTTAATCACTTAGTGTGTGTATCAAGGACCATAGACGGAGAACTTTCCACAGTCCCAGGCTTCAGCTCCTCTGTCCCTCTGTGGTTGCAGTCTACCCCAGCTGCCATCTGCCTGTCCTCTTGCTCATCTGTCTGGACCTGTTATGCATCTGTCTGTCTGTCTGTCTGTTCATCTGTCTGTCTTTTGCTTTCCCTCATTTGTCTCATAGACTGCTGTCTGCTTGGTCCTCTCACATCCCCCCAGACTCTCTTATATTCCCAATGGTTCCCCCAGTCTTTTTGACTCTTTAACCCTTTGCAGCCATTCTGTAAGCTAAATATATACATGATAGATAGATGATGGATAGATAGATAAACAGACATAGGTAGACAGTTGATAGACAAATGATAGGTAGGTGATAGATTTGCAGTGTGGTATGTGCAGTGTATGATCTGAGAGTGGATATGAGTAATTAAGTTTGGAATAAGAACCCGCGTTTCCCTCAGCTGGAGGTATTGCACAAAGCAGAGATATTTGGTAAGTCACTGTGGTTGAAACTTCCACGCTCTCTGAATTTGTTATTTAATATATCCTGATATTGTGGAAAGACACAAACATGTTTTTCTTTGTTTCTGGTATAGCTGGCCATGCTCATAACAGTCAGTTACGATGGGTCCTCCCTCTGTCCCAGGCCTCTCCATATCCACCAAGCCTCCATGTGGAAGTGGGACAGTCTGAGCTATGCAATGCTTAGGACCCAGGGCACCCAAGCCTGGATACCGAATGATGAGCAAGCCACTTTTCCACAGAAGCTGGCATCACAGGGCTGTTCAGGTCTTTGCTATGTAGAGCCTGCTTCCTCAGAAGCCCTGCTCACCCACTCAGCCACTATCCCCACAAACAGGGAAAATGCTCAGACTTAGCTTATTAAAGAGTAAAAAAAAGCATGACAGAGCAGGGAGAGGAGAGATGGAGAAGGAAGGCAAGGCAGGAAGGCTGGCTTTCTGAGTGTGGCTCAAGCACAGCCAGCCTGCTTTGGTCACCATAACACAGAGCTATGGAGCCACCAGGGATGGCAGTGAACCTCAAAGACAATGAAATCAGCAGAGATTTAAGACAGACACCAGTTGTCAAACTCACCAGTTCCTACTCAGCATGCCACAGGGAGACTAGGAACTGCAGGTGTGTTGTTCTAGTCACACGGCAGCAGCATCCACCCCCTCTATGATATGAGGCTTTCTCCAAACCCTCCTGAGAGCTAGCTCATGCTAAGTGTCCCCACAGTCAATGTGGAAGTGGATTAAGGCCTGCTTGTTGGCAACACATGTGGAGGCGAATAGCCGTGTGTCCCTTCACATCCTTATGCATCTGGGTTATTAGGAGCCCACCCAGTTCACTCATGTTTCCACAATACGGTGCAGTTTCTATGAATACAGGACACTTGTGGAAGAATGAAAGGAGTGGGCGGAGCATGGGAGAAGCTGGAGCATGGGAGAAGCTGTATCTCTCATCCCGACAGCCTCCTTTGTGTTCTCCCATAGCTTCTCTTATCCTCTCTCTGATCTCCTTTGCTGACTTTAGTGCTCTGGGCACACCTGTCCATCAATACCAGAGGAAATGGCGGTGGTGCCAACAGTCCAGGCCTGCAAGTATGATGTGTCCACTCACCTGGCTTGCTGGCAGACGCAGCAAAGCCATAGCTTCTCATGCTTCTGGTAGGAGCAGCAGCTCTTGCAGACGCTGAACTTGCATTCCCCACAGAGGCGCCTGGCGTTGACCAAGAAGGTGAAGGGCGAGCAGCAGCGCATGCAGCAGCGCTCCACAAACTTCTGGTGCTTCGAGAGGATGCTGCACTTGCTGTTCTCCTCGGCTAGCCTCTGCTTCATCTCACTGTCAACCAGAAGGAGGGGGAGAAGGTGAGGCAGAGAGAAATGGCAGGGTGGGGCTGTCAGCCCAGAGCACCTGGTCCTGTCCCCTGAATGTGCCCAGCCCTTGTAAAGTTGTCCTATAGAAAAACAATAGGGCTTGAGAGATGGCTCAGCGGTTAAGAGCATCGATTGCTCTTCCAGAGGTACTAGGTTTAATTCCCAGCATCCACATGGTGGCTCACAACCACCTGTAATAGAATCCAATGCCTGCTTCTGGTGTGTCTGAAGACAGCAACAGTGTACTCATACAGAAAATCAATCAATAAATCTTTTTAAAAAAGAACAATAAAACCAGAGAAACTGTATGTGTGTGTTGAATGTGCATGTGGAGACCAGAGTGTGCCTGTGTGTGCATGCATGTGTGCACACCTGTGCATTTGCTTATGTGTATGTTGAATGTACATGTGGAGACCAGTGTGTGTATGTGTGTGTGTGGGTGCGTGTGCATGCGTGTGCTTGTGTGTGCTGAATGTGTGTGTGGAGACCAGAGCTCACTCCTGAGTGACCTCTCTCCACAAGGCGAATCATGTAAGAGGTAGAAGAAAGGTTTTAAGAAGCAGAGCTTGGGGAGGACCAGAGACAGCGTCTCCTGGACATGATGGGCGGTCACCCTTGCCAACAACAGCTGTGGTGGCCACACAAGATCAAGGCAGGTGACATTCCAGCATGGAGTGGGACTCATGAGCTCTTACTCTCTTACTCCCAATGGAAGAGCTATGAGCAACTGACTGCTTCTATGGAAGGGAGAGGCGTCAAGAAAACCCAAGCAATTCTGCCTCAGTTACTACATGGAGGCATAAATTACCACTAAAAATAAGCAGCCTTGCAGAATAAAACCTTTCACTTCATTAATGCCTTCTTAGAGGGGAGAAGATAGCTCCTGTTAAAACATTAGTCCTCACAACAGCCCTGCTGGGAATCTGATGGTACCATTTCACACCCCTGGAGACCCAAGCAGCCAGAGGTCTGAAAAGCTTTCAAATCAACAGGAGTCAGAATGGACCCTCAGACAGATCTGAGGTGCTGGTGACTCCCATCTGGATGAAAGACCATCATCTTCCACCAAAGAGCCCCTGGTCACACTGACAGGCAGACAGCTACAGTCACAGGAATGTGAAGTCTGACAGCTTGCTCACCCCTGGGAAGTCAGCAAAAGGAATTGGAGGAGCCCTAAGGAGTGGCCCCAAACATCCTGAGTGACATGGTAGGCACTGACAGTAGCCCCGCAGGGATGGAAGTTATATTTAAGTACTACAATTCCTCTGTTCTGCATCTGTGTCACATGCTGTGTCTCAGCATCAGCAGGACTATGAGATAACCAGGCAAGTGGAATTTTGGGGGGTCATTATAATCAATCATGTACCCGGGGCCTTCACTGACCAAAGCATATACTATATAACTGCATTAAGTTCTCTTTGATATTAAGCTTTATTTTTAGATTGCATTAATTAGTTATCATATGTATGTATTTATGCATGCATGTATGTATGTATGTATGCATGCATGCATGTTTATATCTTATTAATACAGCATTTATTTGTCTTCTCTCTGTCTAATTCTGAGCCACGCACTTTCCCCAGACTTCTTGGGGAGGTACAGGAAAAAGAACATACAGGACAGACGAGACACAGAAGAACTATGGGAGGTGGAAGTGGAGATGCCTGCTTCACGTGTTGAAGAGGATGAGAAAGGTCTCCATTAGGCAGAAGAGCCCCACAGCCTCTGAGAGGGCAAAGCCCAGAATCACATAAAAGAGCAGTTGCTTCAGAGAAGGGTTCCCAGCATAGCCAATGGGACTCTCCAAAAGAGTCCCAATCCCTGCCCCAGCCCCTGCCCCAATGAACTTGAAGGCTCTGTGGCTGTCCCTTGAAATGGCACTGGTTTGGAAGCCATGGCTAGGGATAACTGAGGTCAGAGGCACTGTGACCGCCAAGCAGTTGACACCCTTATCTGTTGGCGTCTGTGGTCACTTCAGCTCCACTGCAGAAGACTCAGCAGCTGAGAGGTGCTCCTGATCAGGGAGCGGGTAGAGAAGAACTTGGAGCAGGCATATATTTTCAGGGGTGAGGGGTCAAAGTGAGAGAGCTGCTCCCAGGGTAGAGAAGACAGAGAGGGGCTTATGTGTTTATCTGTGAAAATATTATACATGTATACAATGTATCTCCTTCATATCCGGTCCCTCCTTCCAGTACTCCCAATGGATGACCAACTTTGCGGCTCTCTTTCTTAAAGCTCACTAAGTCCAATTAGCACTGCCCATATGTGCATGGCTGGGGGACCATGCACCGGGGCATGGGATAGCAACCTACAATGGCCAGCCCACCCTTAACAACCATCAGCTGCCATTAGCTCCTTAGTTAGGAACAGGCTGTGTAGAGATTCTCCCTGCTCCCTGCTGGAATTTTTAACTCTCTCGGTCGTGTGGAGGTCTGGTGTGGGTTACCACAGCAGGTGTGAGTTCATGTATGTAACTGAGATGCTATGTCATGTTCAGAGCCGAGAAGTCCACGACTCTCCGTCCTTCCCTCCCTGACATTCTTCCTGTCCCCTCTTCTACAATGGTCCCTGAGCCTTTTGCCGCCAAACAACACCCAATGTCTGCATGTGTCATGTTTTATTTATCTCTTGGCAGCTGACTGGCATCAAATTATGTCTATTAACTGGCTATTATGGTTAACCCTCTCGTGAACATTTATATTTAAGTTTTCTATGGACATAAATCTCAGTTATAGGAACTGAGCTGTTGATTGGCATGGTTGGTAACTGTGCTGGGAAAAGTGACAGATGTGCTTTTCAGTGTCTCCACCTGTCCCATGGTCTGCTGGGAAGACTCAAGTATCTCCTCACCCTTACTATGGCTGTCCCCGTTTCTTAATGGCTGTGATCTTAAGAGGACATGAGATGTCTTGTACTAAGATTTTGATTTGCCATCTCTACTGACTAATGAAGACAATCGGCTTCTCTAATCGATGAACGATCCTGAACATATTTTCATGGGCTCACCAGCCATGTGCGTAACCTCATCAGTTCTAACGAGAGTATTTGTCTTTTCTTGTTTATTATTTTGTAAGGTCTCTTGATTTACTCTGGGTACAAGTTCCTTATCAGATATGTAAATTTGAGATAGTTTCCCTTCCTCCCATTAAACATTATATCCCATTAGCATTTTTTTTTTTTAGTAAGGAAGGGAGAATGCTGTTCATTCTGCAAGAAAGAAGCACGAGCACACAGCGGGTACTGCACCGAGATATCTTCTCAGGAAGATGCCGTTTAGATCCTTAGAATTGGAGTAGGCAGCCAGCTAAGGAGCTGGGGTTGGCACAGAAGGAAGTGATGGAGTGCTAGAAGGCAGAGCGGGCTGGAATGTGGAAGGGAGGTTCAGCCACATGGTGTGGTCGGCTCGGCTATGCACTGAAAAGCCACGACTGTGGGCACTGTAGCTATGGAGGGGAAGGTGGCTCTACAATACCCATCTGCAGACTCTCCCTTTTGCCTGGTCCTCCTGTGTGCATCCATGTCACATTTATTCCTTTTCTTTTGACTTATAAGAGAGAAGCACATGCCAGAATCTTCCTCTAACACACACAGACAACAGGTTCTGCTGTGAAGCCTAGCTGAGCTCAAGACACCTACACACACACACACACACACACACACACACACACACACACACACCAGAGCTGGTCTAAAACTGCATCACGAGGCAGCTATAGAAGTAGATGTTTTTGTCCTAGAGGACTGTCCCCTGTTGTGGGATTATTGTCGTAGCTCCGACCTTGAGCAGCAGCAGCAACAACAAAACCTTCCCTCTCCCGGGAGGAACAGAGCTGTCCATCACTCTGCAGATGACAGTAAACAATAAGACGTGTAGATCTCCGTTCTCCCCCACAGAGGAGGGAACCGATGTCCACCTCAAAGCGTCGCTGCGGTGCACTCCTGACATCTGCTGTGTCATACGCTGTCACTGAATGTGAACTCCCACCTAATCAGAGTCATATCTGATTCATCTGTGGGAGGGAGGTGCCTGTGGAGGGGGCTGTCAGTGGTGAGGTGAGGAGATGGCAGACTACACTAGGGGTAGCTGCTTGGTGGCAGTCCTGTGCTGTCCATCCTCAACGGCCCTGTTCACGGCAGACACCTTCCCGAAATCTAAGTTCATGGAGGGAGCTGTAGAGAAACCTGCACAGTGGTTGGTTTGTTATTTAACTTACATTTGTGTGTGTGATGAATACATGTGTGTGCACCTGTGAAAACCAGAAGTCAACACTGGGTGTCACACTTCATTGCTCTCCAAGGTGACTCTTTCAGGACCTGGAGTTCACAGCTTGGCTGCACTACATGGCAAGTGAGCCCTAGGATCCCCGTGTCTCCGCCTCCAGCCCTCAGACGACAGGCATGGGTGTCATGTCTTATGTGTGTGCTCGGATCAGGGCCTTGTCCTTACACAGCAAGCATTTTACGCTGAGCCATATCCCCAGTCCCTATAGAACACTTAAAAAATATCTTACAGAGGTAGGGGCTGGAGAGAAGACTGGGTGGTTAAGAGCACTGACTGCTTTTGCAGAGGACCCAGCTTTAATTACCAGCACCCACACGGTGGTTCATAGCAATCTGTGACTCCAGTTCTGAGGGATTCAACGCCCTCTAGTGGCCTTTCCTACATCAATGTAGGCAAAACACTCATAAATAAACCTTTTAAAAAAAAAAGCCCATTAAACACCCTACAGTATTACATTCCTTTAAATCTCTTTTCCCAGAGCACAGGGAGGTCAAACCCTCCTCCTTCATTTTTTTTTTTTTAATAACAGGAAACAGAGCTCACCTGTAGGTGAGAGGCATCCAGCAAAGCACAACACCCTCAGCAGTAGAAAAAAGAGGGCTCAGCCACTTTCCACAGCTCTCTAGAGGGTGGGCCCACAGGGCCATTGTGCATTTGGATATTGAGGGGCCCTGGGCCTGGCG